ATACGTATATATATATATATATATATATATATATATATATTATTTTAACTATACGATACAAGGGTAACTCGAAGGCATTACTTATGTACGTTTGCAAATTACTCCAATTGATTCTTGGCATGTAAGTATTGTAATATGCGTGTGGATGCGAGTGCACAAAATTCGTGAATGAAACGATACGTAAAATGGTGCTTACCCAAGCTGATTCCGGAATCCTTCACGTGGATGACCACCATCGGCATCAGTACCATCACGACGAGGTTTATGACGTGGAACACCATTCCCGTGCTGTGAGCTATGATATCCTGCGACAGAAAATAAAGAGATACAAGTTACGACAGGAAGTGGCTTGCACACAGCGCGTGGCATACATCACGGACGAGAAGTGACGGCGGAGGAGCTAAAATGATGGACAGTAATACGAGAACAATTCCGTATATGTATTCTTTATAGCAAAATTATTTAGTAGATAGATTAATAAAAGTGAGAACTAATAGCTTAAATTTGAAGAATAAAGCTCATTTTAATCAAAATATAATAATTAATTTGTTAATATAATTTGTTCCAAACTTTTATATTTGGAGTAAAGTAAAATTATATAATTTTAATAAATTAAGCAAATGCGTTGTGATATTTTTACGACGTTTTACTTTTTTGACTTATTAAAATCATAAACTTTTTAATTACAAAAGCGTAATAATAACAGGTTCATTTCTAAGTTAATTTAATTAACTATACAATCATAACAAAGATAAACTTTATTTATTAAATATTTAATTTTATATATGTAATAATAACCTATTTGTCAGAAGTAATTTAAAATTAAAGATATTTAACGTAAATTTATTAAAATATATTAAATATATTTCCCAATAAATTGACTGGTAAATGAAAAGAATAAGCGGGTTCAATTTATTTGCTTTGATAAAGCCGTCTTGATACATTTAAATTCATTTTCAAACATTTTTGTCTTTTATATTTTAAATTAAACTATATATATTCGAAATATCATCAAATATAATGATTACTATTTTAAATGTTGAAATAAAATATTTATTAACTTTTTAACTTACACATTCTTTATCTTAAGAATTGTGTTTTAATTGTATTTTAAATAAATTGTGCGAAACATGTATCTGTGTCAATGAATCGCTCTCATGTAAACAAATAATTACAGGAATTGATTGATCGTCTACGTAAGAAAGAATCATTAAAAGCTTAAAAAGAATAATCGCGTTGAACGTATCTGCCGCAATACGAGAAATAACATGAAACACAAAGCGGCTCATGCCACTACCTGACTATTGGAACATCATCGTACGACTGATAATACGGCGGTCGTATGTAAACACAACGCTCCGAGTACGATTAGTAGTCCTGCGAACTAAAAGAATTTCAATTCCAAAACATTCTAGCGTCGCGCGCGAGCAACGACATACAGCGATTGTATGTATACACTGGATTTGGTGTATGTTTTAATCCGGTTTAACGTTAAACTTTTTCTAGAATTGCTCGATTCAACATTTTGTATTTGTTTTGGCGACACATAGCACAGTGCTGCGTACCCCTCCCCCCCCTTCCCTCCTGTCAAAGAGTATCTATAAGGCTATCAATCGTATTGCTGTCTCGAGACATTGATCGAACAGTGCCGCGAATTGTTCCAATGTCGTATCACCTCTCGATGCTACGAAATGATTTCAATAGATAATTAATTATTAATCATCTACACACAAATATTTAACTCTCATTATTGACAATTCGTAAACACATTAGTGCGGCTGCTTAAAGCCGGCAGCTTTAAAGAAATATATTTGTATTTATTTATTCGCAGAATCAAAACGATAAAAGATGAAAATCGTAATTTAAAAAATTATAATTTAAAATTATAAATAATATATTTCGAGATAATTACTTCTTTAACGCGATTGAATCGAATGTATTTCGCACTTTTCATCGATACATAATTTGCTTAATCTGACAGATTGAGAAAATTTTAAAATATTTTCTAACGTGCTGGATACAAAATAATTTTGATACAGATAATATATGAGTATGATTTAAAAGCATATATTTACGTTTCAAAATATGAAATATATCATTGGATCTTATGTCATTCATAATAAATATCTCTAATGTTGATTGTTTCCAGGATGAAATTAAAATAACATTCGAAGATTAAAGCGTAATCAGATAGATGGATAAATACGAAACAGATAAATATTCTGTCAGTTTGTGCTAACAAAACTCGTTTATTAATTTCTAAATGTTCATGATTTTATATTCATATTATATAAAGTGCAATTGCATCTTGCAACAGGACTTATATTAATGTATCGGTCTAAAAAGTATAATCAGAATAATTAATCATGTTGAATAGTACAAGAATTTTCCTCTTTCATTTTTTCTACTTTAATTTATAATTAGAAAAGAATTAATCAATCCAGTTATTAGAATCACTTTAGTTCAATTCTGAGAAATCATGCATTTTGATAAACACGAAATTTATTTTATTCTAATAATTAATCGTTACAATATTTATTATAACTTTTTCGATGTTCTTGCGTATAATTTTGAGTAGAAAAATTACGTAAGCAGATTATACTAATAAATCACGCGACTATATCATGCAAATGTGTAAATCACGCAAGTAAATTTATTCAATTAAAATGTTAATCGTTATAGCTTATTATCGCGTGAACTACTTCAATGACGCGTTCTACAAACGTTCTAAAACAAGCGTGACAATATTTAAATCTATCTAGTGATAATGAGTCAGCAATTAAAAGAATTTTTCTCTTTTTTCGACCTCTGACTGAAATTTGCCAAAAGCAATGAAATAAGTAGTAGGTCCAATATGGCAAGAAGAATTGACTTTAATAGTATATAACAAAGAGAAAGAAATAAAAAATTGCTAGTGAGTTCGTGAGTTAAATCACATTTAAGATGCATTTTTCAAATTTCGGATGATTGCGGGTTAGAAATTTCACTTGATTAGCTAGCAAATAGAACCCATTGCAAGTCGTAAATTAAAAATTCCGCTGAATTAGTTAACAAGTAGAACCTTGTAAAACGTAGATTAGAAATCTCGTTAGATCAGTCAGCATTGTAGGTCATTATAAAACCTATTGTAGATCATGAAAGGAAATTCCACTGACTTAACTAACAAGTAGATTCCATAGTAAATTATGCGTCATACTCAAAGAGATTGTTAGGATTGCTGAATACTAAGACAAATAACGACCTAGAAATAGGATGATATTTAAAAGCAGCTTAAAAAGTTCAATTAATATTTTTAAAGACGATATAATAAATGTGACGTAATTAATTCATCGGAATCGAATTCGAAAATTAGGACAACATTGCAAAAAGTCTCACAAAAATAATTTAAAATAATTTTGACAGTGATCGTCAATCACATCAGTCATATAATACTGATGAAAGACTATTTATTTACGTATCTATACAAATAACAATACGATGCAAAATAATGTAAATGTCACCAAACACGCAAAGATAGCGGAAAATTATTATGGTTAAGTGAACTTTGCGGTAAAATATCAATAATTTTGTATTTCGCTAACCAAACAATCATTTTTCTCTGTTTGAACTTTCAACGTGCTCGGTTGGAAATGTACAGGATTCTGATACGTGTAAATCATTGATATATTGATATACGTGATATATCAGAAGCGAGATATATAATCTGTTTCTACGATGAATTTTATAGAAACTTAAACAATGCAATAATGACAATGATTTATTTAAACTCGCATATCTTATTACGATACGACAGACGATAAATTAATGAAATTTAAATATTTCAACATGTTATTACTAATAGATTTTCATAATATTATGTTCAAAAAAATCTAAGTAAATTCTCAATTTTGTAAAAAATTAAAATAATCAAAAATAAAACAAAATTTCCAGTGAAATGTCATTAGCAGATATTTATTTTTAGCAGAGATTTATTTTCATTGAAGATTACCTTCGAATCCAATCAAAATGTACACGGCATTTAAAAAGGTACCTCACTACCTCAGTAAAGGATAGAATCATAAAGAGCGAGAGTCTCTGAATGAAATTAGTGTGAATATGCAAAACACGAGATTACTACGAGATTAATTATCAGAACAAAGTGCGTTATAAAGGAGGATATAAATCACGGTCGTTGTCACAACGCTCACAATATTGAATCACGGTATTTCATTCGCGCGATAGCGCAGTTGGCCGCTGTTATAGGATTCAATAAAAATTACACACCCATCCGGGACAAAAGGTTAATTATTTAAACGCGCTGTCGGACGCGTTTGACAAAGTATCGCATAAGCGTGATTTATCACCGGCAAGTTATTATGGCACGGAAACAAACGCCGACGCTCGCGGTGAGAAACATTCGCCCGTCCGGAAAATATTTCGCTTCCGCATCGCGCACCGTTGCTCCAGCTGCAAAAACTCCTCGCTTTACACTCTCGCACTTCGTGAAGTTTTGTATCTGAAGTAATTACCCTTAAAGACTAAGGGTACATTTCATAAAGAATGCAGTTTTACAGTTCGCTCGGAACTCAAGTCGTTGAAGAATGCAGGAAAGATCCCCAGAAGATCGTTAAGAAGAAATTCCTTCGTCGGAAGCATGTTGTCTGTCGAATGTAGTAATTAATGAGCCTCTTGGGAAAAGGATGGGTTAAAAAATGTACAATTTATAATATTCAAAATCAGTTATAATATATAAATTGTAGTCTTTTAAATTATTTAAAACTAGCTTAAAGTTCTAAAATTTAATAATTAAAAATGATAGAAAACAAAACACTAAACTACAAACACATGTATCCAGAATAATAAAACTCGAAAAATATGTAACGAGTAAACGCGGTTGAAAATTAAACTCCACTTGCGATTCACAGATCACCTAGCATCCGAATGCAAGCATGGAAAACAGAAAACACGTTTTCTGTCGGATCAAATATTTATGGAACGCTTGAGCCAATTATGTCGCACAAAAGAATATAATAATAATTTGATACGGAACGTATTGATGCTTAAAAATTTATATGATACGATTCCGACATTCCTGCACAAAAATATAACACATACTCAAAGCAAATTTAATATCGCATTGTTGGAATTTTTTAATTAATAATAAGAATTTGTCAACGTATATCATTCAAATAGAATTAATAAAATATAAAAAATTTAAAAATATTGCTAAGATTTAAAATGTAATCCAATTGATTGTGAAGAAATATATAAATTATTAAAATTATTTCTAAAACACTAACGTTATCGTATTCTGTGACTGTTAAATTGATAAAAAGGTTTTTTTTCTTCACAGAAAAATAAATATTTATTTACATAAAATTAAGTGCAAATCATGAATGTTAAAAAAGTCAGAATTCTATGCTCCGAAAATGGATACATTTTTTATGAAAGTCATCATCGCATCTTCTCTACGAGCGCGCTACATATCGGTTGACATGACGGTTAAAAAATGTAATGTCGCAAATGAAACGTGGCTGATAAGTTTTCTATACCATCAGATAGTCTAACGTTTAAATTATTAAATGATATGAATTGTACGAGCGGGTCACATAATAAAACCCGACAATTTCACCTGAATAAGCACGATCACGTAAATGCTCGCGAAACATATGCGAAAACGGGAGCATAACTTATCCGCGCGCGATATGTTAGTTCTGAGTATTAATTTGCTACATATTATTCATACGGGATTCTGCGCGACTCGCTCTGGCGAGAATTATTCATACAACGTTGTAATTATGCGTTCGTCATTAGCCGAATTATTAGTCGATTAGCGGCCAGCGATTAATCAGTGAGTGGTAATTATTGCGTGCGCCGTCGAGGCAGCGTTTGTATGTCATTGGCGGGATTTCATTTCAGAAAAGGAGATCGGCAAATCGAGTTCGACAGACATTGAAAATTATATCGAACTGATTATACATCACGTTAAATAATTGCGTATGCACGAAGACATCTAAATATCATCGTACTACACACGCGAAATGGAAATACTGATATGAAATACAATACTCATACATTTTTAATAAAATTAATTATTTCTAACTTGAATTATTTCTAGCTTGTCATTTCTGACATTATAATTTTACTGACTTTCATGCGGATCGAAAATGTATTCCTCCATTCGTGTACTTTAATCCGCGGAAACTTTTCGATTCACGCTCAATCGCCGCGGAATTGCCGTTGGCGATGCAATGTAATTAGTGGAACATTTACATTACAGTTTGAACATATGGCACAAAGGTAATTGGCGAACACGTAAAGGATTACGTAATGATTGCACAATGGAAAGGTCCGACGTTAATTCGCACAATGACTGGAATTGACGACTTCACGCTGCGACGATGATCGAGCGCGTTCTGTCGACCAACGATCACCTTTACGACGACGGCGATAAGGAAACAGTGCGAGAGATATAATGTTAAAACCGAGTCATCGACGCAGATAAAGCACTATATATGACACTGTCGATTTTTACGGTCGGCATCTAAAAAATTATCACTGCATTTATCTGCCGGTCACTGGATCGGCAAATCAATTGATGTGCCCGTAAACTTCGGTCAAACCTACGATCAATGATCCGCACTACACTGACTTTAATAGTATTCTTAGTAGATATTAATAGTTGTTCAAAGAGATAGTAAAAACGTCATTGAGATGCTTGATGACGTAGTTATTGCGAAAAAGTACCGTTTTAAGATTCTTTCTATCTTTAACAGAAAAATAAGTAATATTTTATATAATTTTATAACTCGAATAAGTTATTTTTATATCGTATTTTTATTGACACGATTTATTAATAATAAATTATAGAATTATACCAAAAAAAAGTTCGTAAAAAAGTGTCCAAACTGATTGAAAAGTACAGTTTGAATATAGTGTAATAAAATGTATGGCTAAAACAAATACATACACACATGTAAAATATAAAAGCGTATTCTCTTTACCGTTTGGTAGATTAAAATATATTCGTGAAATGAAGTCTTTTTTTGAAAATGTACTCTTCCTATCGCGGACAGCAACATTTCAGGATATTTCACAGAGGTGGACCCGACAGTTCATCGATATAAAGAACCGAGCGAGAGCTCGAGAAAGGGTAAAATGCAATAAATGTCTCCCCTGATAGTATTGCAGTACTTTTCCTCGGAAGTTGTAGAAAGTTACTTGTCGCGAGTTCCCCATATCATTATTATTTAGTTCTTCGTTCTATAAAAAAAAAAAAGAAAAAAATAGTCAGTGGAGGTGAAAAGTGTGCAATGTGTCTCTCGGTTCCTCGTGTTTATTTCTCTTTGACTTTGTCTTTCCCTTTATTTCTGATTGTTCCTCGATGCTCGCCGCGGGTGCTGCAAGAAACGAAAGCGCACAGGCGTGGATAACTTTTTAAGGCAAGAATTCTCTCCCTCGCTCTTGATCATCTAGGATTTCATATAACGAAACTTGAACGCGTTTATTTCCGAAGAACGCGAATGACTTCAACAGAGTGCAATTGCTTGTTTATTACCCAAGTCTTCGCTCTGACTTTATAAGTCTGTGCCAAATAAAAAAAATAAACAATCGTATCTCCTGAAAATACTATAAATTTTTTTACGGTCGTTGAGTATAATTAAAACGTAAAACGTATAAAATTTATTAACAAAAAGTATAATAGGAACGAACAATATTTCCTCCTAGTTAAAAACATTTCATTGTTAATATCATTTTCTGTTTATATCCATCTATAAATACTCTTTGAAATATACGTTCGCATAGATTTGAATATAATACCGGTATAAATTAATAAAAATCTGCGAATGATTACAGTTTATATTTCGCCGACTATTGTGTAAAGAATAAACAAATTAATCGCACGCGAAATTTCACAAAGCTGTTGCTACTGATGTAACATCGCCGATTTTTTTTTATTTCCAATCGATACAATGTAAAAGCGTCGACGCTATTAGGGGCAATAAATTACAATGTAACGCCTCCCTTGTCGAACGAGCTGCGGTATCGCGCGACTATCGTTCAGTCGATTACCCGGATATTGGATTTGCTCACTTTCCGCTCGCACAACCCTTATACATATGTATACCAAAATATTTGGAAGAAAAATTCACTCACCACAGACAGTCCTTTCTCGATCACCAGACAAAAGCTCACTGGCAAGGTGGAATCTGCAAAACAAACAAACGAAAGAGGTCGTTTATCGATCATATGGCTTTATGTCGTTTTCTCCCTTCGCGAATTTGTCGTTCCCTTGTATTTTCTCGCTCTTATTATCTTCCTCTCACTTTTTCCCTTTCTTCTCTCTTTTTAAAACTGACCGAATGTCGAAATGTGCAGTCGACTGGTCCTAGTCGAAGGGAGGAAGTGACAAGGGCTTGTCATTCGGCGTGATGATATAGAAGCGAGTGAGAGAAAAGCAAACAGAAAGAGGAAGAAGGGAGAAGCGTGTGTGTGTGTGTGTGTGTGTGTGTGTGTGTGTGTGTGTGTGTGTGTGTGTGAGGGGGGGGGGGCAAAGGCTGTGCAGCGAGGATAAACGCTGCCGGTGATCGAGAGCATCGCTCTCGATGCATTCGGTAGGGAGGACATAAAAAAAGGGAGGAAGAACCGATATCGAGCTAGCGACGAAAGCGTCTCGTCGATAAATCATCCAAAATAGCACTCGATATAAAGCGGAAGTACGATTGGGCGACGCGTACGTGTAACCCGACTTGCATCCGTAGCTCCGTGGAAAACAATATCGTCTTCTCCCTTTGCAAAATAAGAACATAAGTCACATGATCGTTTATTCGTCTAAATTTTTATCACAGAATCATCTATTTTTGCTGTAATCTTGCATTGCAGAGTTGTATTCCGAAAATTTCAAGATGCAAGCTATAAATTCACCTGCACTTTTAACACTTTGAAAACATTTTATCTATTTTATTTTTTTCGCTTTTCTAGATAGTAACTATACATTAATAATTAAATAATTTAAATAAAAATAATTCCTTGAAGTTGTTAAAAAAATTATTATTTATTATCATTCTTAAAATCTTTCTAATTTCAAATTTTTTTATTTCTATTTCTCTTTTTTTATTTCTATTAAGATTTTTTTTTCTATTTCTATTAAGTCTAATGTAGAATAAATGAGAGAATTTGTGATATTCAAATATTTTTAGAAAGCGCCGGTATATTCTTCGCGTGATGAACATAACTTCGAGCAAATTAAAATTGTATTAAAATCAAGAAGATGGAACAAAATAATCCTAATCTCTATATGAAAAAGAATCATAGTAGAGAGAAGAGTGTATTAATAGATCGTAATAACTATGGAGACGATATCCGATTATACATTTCGCACTTGTAAGCCAACGTTCGATATTAAATCGGATTCGCGTCGTATACGAAATTACGCTCGAGCGGGATTATTCGGAGATCGATCCTAACAGCGGGATTTGACGAAACACAAAATTTCTCTTTTATTTCACGCTGTTCTTCTTATCGTTTCCCGCAATCGTTCCCAGAATCGAGAGCGCTTGGACGCTTTCGAAGATAAGTTTTCGTGGATGGTCCACGGGATAGCCGGTAAGATTTTACCGCGAGAGTGGTTCGTCGTATTCTTCGAAGTATCGTCCGCTCCGGGATAAAATATGGGCGGAACTTAAATAAGTTTAAGAGATGCAACCGGATGATAGGCAAACTCACAGAATTGGGAACCGCGAAAGCATCACGTCGAGAAGATCCCGCGCGAAGAAATTCAGAAATGTATTCGCCTGCGGCATCAAAGATTTTGATAGCACAAGTTATGATGTCTTAATGAAAACATGGGCTTTGTGCGCTACCAAAATACCTAATCCTTTCTCGAGATGCTAAGAAAATACAATATTAATATACATTGTAATTACAATTCTTATTTCAATAAAACAACAAAATTTTTATTAAAGTAAAAAGAGATATATTAGATATATATATAGATATATAGAGTATATAGAGAGATATATTACGTAGATATATATAGAGATATATATAGAGTTTTAATAATAGAGTTTAAAAATAAAAATTGGTTTTAATATAAAAGCATAAAGATATTTTTGTTTTAATAAAATCGTAATCTTCTTTTTAAATATTATTAGAACATTATAAAACGCGTATTTCGCGCGCGCCATTTATTTTTTAATATATTTTTATATAAAATATTTACATTGTATATTATATAATCTCGCCACTAAAAACCTGGTTAACTTAACAAATGTTATTTCGAATTTTCATTTCCAAAATTTAATATTTATTCATGTTCCTAATATTTCCTCCATTGCGCAAGGCCTAACAGAAAGATATCACCTTATAATATTTAATTTTATTACACGTATTGAAACGTTTATATTTCAGCTAGCGAGAATGGCACGCGACCTTGGTACTTTGTTGATAATCGACGGATGTCGTGTACGCGCGCACAGCGCGCTATCATTCAGTCATTCAACTCTCGTACGGGAAGGTAGTGTTATGAGTCGCTCCGCGTATCTTCGCATTTCCTTTTTGAAAAATCGTAACAAGTTCTAGATGACAAAATCTAGAATGTCAATTCATCCATTTTACGATACATGATGCAATAAACGTTGTTAGCTCGCGCAATTATTATTCGGATTTATATGTAATTAAAAGACGACTTGTTTCATTGAATATTCCGGGTAGCGGAATTGACTCATATTCATTAATCAACGCTTTTCTAAAGCATAACGATAATATTATAATCATTTTTGCAAATGATACGCGTATTGTCTTAACGGCGGAAGGACTGCGTATTCGTGGCTTTCTTTAATGAATATCTTTAACATTGAGCATGAATTCTTTTGGAATTCGTTTCGCTTTGAAATTCTCACCGATTTAAATGTACTTTGTATTTTGTAATACATATAGGTAGTTTTTTCTAACAATGGTTTACTATAAGATATATCGATTTCAAATAAATTGTAACGAGTCTTAAATTAAAAATACGTTTTACGATGCTCATACGCTATAAACATCATTTTATTTTTACTCATTAGTACGTCAAAGGAAAATAGAATAATAATACAACGCATGAGCGCCCAAATGGAATACGAAAACAGAAAGATTAAGAAGATAAAACAATTACATTATTTAACGTTCCATCATCGAAAGATGTTATAAAGCTTCACGGAAATTAAATTTGATTTGTAATATTGTTAAAGATTATTTCGTCGTAGCCAGATTATTGTTATTATAGCCTTGAGTTACCTGCGCGTCGCGAGTAGTACACGTGTTTACAAGTAGCGCGTCACGTGTTTACGAGCGCTCCACGCACGGTCATTCAATCACTGGTATTCGTACTGGTAGGTAGCAAAACATACTGTTCCGCATTTCTTTACATTTCTTCGATACTGAATGATATCAAATATTGCTCTATCTTACGAATGCGTAATAACTGTTTATTATTAATCGGGATGATTAATAATTCGTAAACGTATCGAAGTCACAACTTTTTAACAAGTATGTATATATTTCGCGCAATTTAATTTCTCTGAAATGACCTTTTATAAACTTTAACCCCCCTCTAATGGGTACGGCCTTGACGTGGCAGAGGGGTTTAGTATTCCGAGAGATTCCGTTGGGTTCTCCAACGGAATCCCAAAGACGAAGAAGCTAACAGTACCCGTTGCACCGTTATTAGTAACATTAATATTTCCATTGGGTAATATTACTGTTATTAATAATGTATTAACACAGCATAGCCACGAGTTGTGAAATGGCTCTTATGTGGCAAAATTAATTAATGCGTGAAACGCATTAATCGTCGGTTTTGAACCGACATTCCGCCGCCGATTTAATCGTGAATGAACGAACTGCAGCCAGTTCGTCGCGTCGCGCGTTTGCTTCGGGAGTGCCGTAAGTGATTGGACTAAAAGACTCGTCTTGCGAGGGCTCGTTCGAAAGATATCATAGTTCGTGCCGGGAGTCGCACTGTCAAGGGGTGCAGGGAGCACGGGATCTCATTGAGGCGTAGTCGGCTACGTCCTCACGCCACGTGCGCCGCGGCACTGGTGATGCCGGCTGTGAATGTTACACGCACTCGCTACCGCTTGATGTGTTGTGTTCCGCACAGTTGCAAACTGCATTAAACGGTTGATTGAGAACACGCTCTGTCTTCGACAAGTGGTTCGGTCCCAATCAGCAGGATTTCAATCGGCTGACTTGTTTCCGTCGTTTCTCTTGATTTCTTATTTTCGACACAGCATTGCCACGAGTCGTGAAAGGGCTCCTATGTGGCGCGTGCGTTTCACGCACTGATTTACGCGATTATTTAAAAGCGCGTATTAGTCTGGCGCTCAGACTATTTTTCATTTTTGACACAGCATTGCCACGAGTCGTGAAAGGGCTCCTATGTGGCGCGTGCGATTATTTAATCGCCAACGACCTTTATTTTCCTTTCCTTAATATCTTATCCTTCTCCTTCCTAAACAAATCGCGTTTAATCTGACTTGATCAGAGTTTAGTTCGGGCGGTTATTGCGTGTGCCGAGAGGCTGGATCCCAGTTGTCCGATTGTCTAAATTGTTAGGCATCGGCAGTGGGTACCTTCTCTCTCGTCACATCTACCAGTCTTCTCGATAGCCGGGTGACTTTTGATATCACGTGTATGGTATCCGCCCTGGTGATTCGACCTGAACCGTTGGCTATGTAATGGTTGAGCCAATTTTAGACGTGATTTCTAAGAAACAAGAGACATCGGATTCAAGTCAGTCGATTCGTCTTCTTCCGTTTCGGTCCTAGCCTTTGCTTGAGGAGTTACCGTGTGTCCCGAAAAGCTCACCGACTCGGGTGCTGACTGGACCGACGGAAGTTGATATTTTCACGGGCAGCTAAACGTGGAGTGCCGCGCGAAAGACTTTTATTTAAAGTTAGTCCACGCGCGATTATAATAATTCGCGAGTGTTTTTCGCGAGTGTCCTGTGCTGCGAGGACATCCGACGACCCGACACCTTGAGAGGAGGAGGAGGCTTAGGAGAGGCATCGGGCATCAACGGAGCAACCTTGCGGTAAGTATATTTTTCTTGTCAATATTAAATTAATTGTTCTCAGTTATTTGGATCCTTAAATTTCAATTAAAGATATATATTAAAATAATTATATAATTTAAAAAAATCTAATAGATCTTTAGAAAATAAATTCAT